TTTTTTTTTTTTTTTTTTTTTTTTTTTTTTTTTTTTTTTTTTTTTTTTTTTTTTTTTTTTGTTGCAGTTATGTGCCGCGTTGCAGAAATATTTCTTTATGCATTTTGGCGAGGGTTTAGAGCCATTAGTAGAAAGAGAGGAAACCCTAAATAAGGGTTTAGGGTTTATACTTAATTCCTCTATATTCCTAAATCATTTGCATGCACTTAAATCTTGGGGCTGGATTTACGGCAAAACTCCTCAATTTACCTGCGAATTCAATACAAGATTCGATTGGGGATCCTTTGTAGGGTTTAGGGTTTAGGGTTTAGGGTTTAGGGTTTAGGGTTTTGGGGGGTGTATGAGGGATTGTTCATCGCAGAAAACGGAAGATTTCAAGCTAACTCTTTAGGGTTTAGGGTTTAGAGGTTAAGGGTTTGGCGGATTAGGGTTTAGGGTTTATGGTTTATTGGTGTTTATTTATGCTGCAGGAAGTAGGGTTTATAGTAGAGAATGGATACATAAAAGATTGTATTGTATACAGCGATTGCCTTTTCCCTGAATTAGTTGATGCATTTGCTGCTACCCTTAAAGGTAAACCCTAAACCCTAAACCCTAAACCCTAAACCCTGGATGGAATCGGCTTCATAGAGATATACTTTCGAGTTATTTGCCAACAAACCCTAAACCCTAAACCCTAGTCCCCAAGACGTATAAAGACTAAACCCTCTCTGGCCCCCTCGATAGCTGTGTATGGACGAACCCCACGCAAACCCTAAACCCTAAACCCTAAACCCTTTTCTGTGCCTCAGGAGCTACATATACTGCTGCTAGTATTCATGCAAAGGTTACTTCCCTTCGCCGTGAGGATACACCCTAAACCCTCAGAAGCTAAACCCTAAACCCTTATCTAAACCCTAAACCCTAGACACACTCTTACCCTCTCGACCTTCAGCCTAAACCCTTAGAGGGGCTCCATGCACACTATTGCGAATACGTCTTAGGGTTTAGGGTTTAGGGTTTAGGGTTTAGGGTTTGTGCTGCTGCAGCTAAGTTCCCGGATCATACTGAGAAGTTGGATGAATTTGCTGAGTGGTTGGCTGAGGCATCGCAGTCCTAGGGTTTAGGGTTTAGGGCTTAGGGTTTAGGGTTTAGGGTTTAGGGTTTGGGATGACATTCATTGCCTGCTTCCTTGCAAGCGGGTGTTTATAAATGACAGTTTTAAGGGTTTAGGGTTTAGGGTTTAGCCCTCCTTGAACTCTTTCTTTTCTTTTAAATGTTTTAAACTTTATTTATTCTCTTTAGGGTTTAGGGTTTAGGGTTTAGGGTTTACGGCGATGTCTTGGCTGATTATTGATTGTTGAGTAACAGCTAGCTAGCTAGCGAGCTAAATAAACAGCTAGCTAGCCAGATAGATAACTAACTAGATAGATGGCTAGCTAACTCAGCTACAGCTAGCTAGCTATAGCTAGCTAGCTATAGCTAGCTAGCTATAGCTAGCTAGCTATAGCTAGGGAGGGCTATGCATCCAACTGTATAAAGGTAGACAAGCTGTAAAGGAAAAATTTATTGCTGCCTATACACCGCAGAGGTGCCTATACACCGCAGAGGTACCTATACACCTGAATATGTATTTAATTCATAAAGTTGCCTATACACCACAGAGCTGCCTATACACTGCAGAGGTATACCTATAAACACCATTAGCATATACGGAAGGTCACCACAGACAACAGCAGCAGGAAGAAAGGAAGAATTAACACCTAAACCCTTATTATTTATATTTTGTTTTATTTATTTATTCTTTTTTATTTATATTTAATTAAAATAATACCTCTTCTGCATATTAATAGCTCTCTAGGTTGTTGGGGGCCCCACGGGGGCCCCCCAACCACCCGCCAGTCCCATAGAACAACCACTAAACCCTAAACCCTAAACCCTAAACCCTAAACCCTAGAGGCTGGACGCTAAACCCTAGACGATGTAATACGACAATAATCTTTTTTTGTACTTTCAATTGAGTTGAATTTTTGCGTGGTTGGGATATAAACCCTAAACCCTAAACCCTAAACCCTAAACCCTAAACCCTAAACCCTAGACAGCAACATTGAAGGCATAGCTAAGTTGCCTTGTTGCCTAGGTTGCGTCATAAACCCTTTTTATGACCTCTTACTCCTCTCTCCTAAACCCTAAACCCTAAACCCTAAACCCTAGTTTTTTTAACGCAGTAGTGTGTCAGATAATCTTCAACTGACACCGCAGAAGCAGCAGCAGCAGCAACAGCAGCAATATCATCAGGAGCAGGAACAGCAGCAGCAGCAGCAGCAGCAGCAGCTCCTTGCGGCTATGGGGGGAATTACCTCCCGTCGCAACAGCAACCGCAGCAGCAGCAGCAGCAGCAGCGCCAGCTCGTCAGCAGCACGACCATCCCCATCATTAGCAGCACAATCTCCTTGTGTTGCTGCTGCATCGGATTCTCCAATGCAGCAGCAGCAGCAGCAGCAACAGCAACAGCAGCAGC